CCCCAAAACCCCAAAACCCCAAAACCCCAAAACCCCAAACACAAAATAAAAAATTGGATTTTCCAATATAAATAGAAAGAAAATGGAACAACCTCTTAACCAAGAAGGAGGGGTACAGCAATTCCAGCCTTATGCCCCAACAGCTAACCCACATTACCAAGAATATGATCCCAATGAAAAGCCTCTTGTGCAAGAAGATGATGGACTATCAAAGAAAGTGCAAATGGGGTACCACTTTGGCATAGTCATCTTAGCTCTTATCAACCTTATTGCAATGGGGATCGCTTACTCAGCAATGTCCTCTTACAATAACTCATTGGTCGACTTTGAGGATAACTGGAGTCAACTGCCAATAGGTAAGTGATAATGCCAACCTTGTATAGTTGATATTCAGACTGCAATTAACGGATGTCCTGGAGGATACGAAGATCTTATTACAGATGAATGGCCGGGAACATCAAGCGGATGTGATTGCAGTTTCTCATGGGGATTCCATCCTTCTCTTCAAAGAGGCAGGTGTGACTACAACGAAACAAGAGATGGGTGCGTAAACATTGGTAGCACCTCAGCAATGCCATTGAATAAGTTCTACTCTTATAAACTGTGTGCTAAGAAAGAAGGAGATCCATTTTACAAATCTGATCGGCCAACTAAAAATTTTGGTGATGTAAAGTGCCCTAAAGGATATCAGATATGTGGCAAAGGAGATGCAAAGGACAGATCATGAGTCAAGGAAGGTAGTACATGTCCTGTCACTGATATTGTGATTTCTGATAGCGCCTCAGGTGTTCCTGAAGGATACAAAATACTACAGCTTGATTCAGGAGTTGTTCTAGGATTTACCAATCAATCTGAAGGCTTGCCAATCTCAAGACTCAAGATTACAGAGGGAGATGTCTGCGCTGACCCTGGAGAAGAAAGCTCTTCTGAGGGTAGGTATCTATATAAGCTCTCAAGAAGATCTTCTGGTACATGCTCGAATACCATCGCTGGTGAGAAGGTAGATCCAAGATACGATCGAATTGGCACGGTCAGAGAAGACAGATTGTACGAGGATAACGGAGTGAGCTATGTAACTAAGAATTTACCAATGTATCCTCATGGTGATTCAGAAATGTACTACTGGAACCTCTACACAAATCCATTCTACGAATGGCATCCTGATTGTGATGGATATTATGGGTTAAGCAGGGAATATCTTATTGACCAAGTTGAAGTTTCGGAAAATCTATCTGGGTCTCTAAGTACTGTGCTTTTCCTTACTATCTTCTTCTTTATTGTATGTAGCGTCCTTGTTTGTATTTCTTTATGCAATAGAGATCCAAGGAGCAAAAGCAGTGCAAATTGGTTGAAAAAATTTGAAGCGTGTTCTGTTATTAGCAAGGTGCTATTCATCCTGATCATAATTTGGCTTAGCTTTTCAAATATCTCAGCAATTAGCTCATTTTCAACCACAGTAAACGAGATTGGAAGAGAAGATTGTTCAGATGATTTCTCGGATCAAATTTTCCTCAGTTATGGAGAAGCATTAGTAAGTTCAACCTACAGCCTATCACGAATAACCTGTGATATAGTCATCATCAAGCGGAAAGAATTATTTTGCAATCATCATGTCAATCATAATCCTCATCACATGCGGTGTCTACGCAGGAATGGTACATATCTTCACTAAAAGTATAGCTGTTTGGAGGAAAGTTTGATAACAACTATAGATTCTACGGACGCTCTGAAAAGGTATGTTCTTAATGATTGATATGATTAGAGCCACTCTTCAGTTGAGATGTCAAAAGTTAGTAGCTCATCTTCATCTTCATCTTCATCCTCATCTTCCTCCTCATCAAGCAAGAAATCAAAAAAATCGAATAAATCAAAGAGGTCAAAAAGTTACAGTGATTAAACATTCTTTTTAAGATTTGATTTCTGAATATAAGTGCGATACTCGTTTTGCTACAAAGAATTTCTTCAAATTTATACTAAAAATTCTTTAACAACTTAGGTAGCTACTTACACCCATAACATCCTTATGCCCCACCTTAACCTTCAAAATCTATCACTAAAACCCCAAAAATCCCCCAAAAGAAACAAAGACCACCATTTCCCAATTTTTTGCATTTAAGACGGGGTTTTGGGGTTTTGGGGTTTTGGGG